AACATTACAAGTGTGAAGACTGTGGTGCATCATTTATAGATTCTAGCCATCTAAAAAGACACAGGCGAATTCATTCATGAAAGGATCTTTACAGTTGTGATTTTTGTGGTGGATGTTTTGTTGGGTCTGGTCAGATGAAATGCCTCTGCGAATTCATACAAGAAAGAAACGTTACAAGTGTGTTTGTGTGTGTGTGTGTGTGTGTGTGTGTGTGTGTGTGTGTGTGCGCGCGCGCGTGTGTTTTTTAGCGCATCTTTTAGAGTCCAGATCAGTAAAATGTCACATAAGAACTCACACTTAAGAAAAACCTAACAAGTGGGATTATTGTGGTGCTTGTTTTACTACTAACAGCAGTCTGAAATATCACATGAAAACTCACACAGAGAAGAAACCTTACCAATGCGATCTTTGTGGGACATCTTTTGTTTGACATCAGAAACTGGAATATCACATGAGAACTCACGAAGAGAAGCAACTATTACCAGATGTAAACTCTGGCGGAAAGTTCTAGTTGTTCTTCCACTTCTGGACTGCAGTCCTGTTCCAGAACGTAAGTGTTGCGTGTGCATCCGTTTTGCAGATATGATTCATTTGTATGCAGACTGCTGGTTCCTTGCCTCTCAGGCAGATGCACTTTGACTTCGAAGGAAGCTCCTAATTAGTCAACTCTTACTACATGCTTTTGAGTAGACAGTTGGTCCATTCTTGCTTTTCCTATAATAGGGCCCCGGAACCCACATGGCAACTATTCAAATGTGATGAGAAGCATCTTTTACTGAAACTAGCAGATTGAAGTATCACATTACAGTTCACAAGGGAACACTCTTTAAAGAACACGTTAGCTTGTTTGATAAAGCATGTTTTTGACTAGTAAATTAATTAGCTTGTTGAACATAGTGCTTTCTTCACTACTTTATCTATTAGTTTGTTGAATAAAGTGTGTTCTTTACAGCTTTATTTGTTAGTTTGTTGAATAAACATGTTCTTTACTAATCTATTTATTAGCTTGTTGAATAAAGTGCTTTATTCACTACTTTATTCATTAGTTTGTTGAATAAAGTGGGTTCTTTACAACTTTTTTTGTTAGTTTGTTGAAAAAAGCATGTTCTTTACTAGTCTACTTATTAGCATGTTTAATAAAGTAGGTTCTTTTCTGCTTTATTTAAAAGTTTGTTTAATAAAGCGTGTTTTTTAATGCTTTATTTTATTAGTTGTTGAAAAAAGTGAGTTATTTAAAACTTGATTTATTATTTTGGTTAATAGATTGTGTTCTCTGCTACTTTATTTATTACTTTGTGAATTAAGTGTGTTCTTTAATAAAGTGTGTTCTTTACTGCTTTTTTTATTACTTTGTTAAATAACGTGTGTTCTTCACTACTAAATTTATTAGTTTGTTTAAAAAATTTAATTCTATATTACTTTATGTATTAGTTTGTGTAATAAAGTGTGTTCTTTACTACATCATTTACTAGTTTGTTTAATAAAGTGTGTTTTTTACGAATTCAATTATTAGTTTGTTGATAAAAAGTGCGTTTTTCACTACTTCATTTATTAGTTTGTTAAATAAAATGAGTTCTTGATTACTTTATTTATTAGTTTCTCTCTCTCTTTCTCTGTCTTCCCTCTTTCCCTTCTCTATCTTTCTCTCTCTATTTTTCTCTCTCTGTCTTTTTCTCTTTATCTTTCTCTCTCTATCTTTCTGTCTCTCTCTTCTCTCTTCATCTCTCTTTTCTTTAGTTTTCTCTCTCTTCTATCTTTGTCCTTCTCTCCTCTCTATTTCTCTCTCTCGCTCCTTTGCTCTCTTCCCTCTTTCTCTTCTTAAATTGTTTCTCTCTTCACTCTCTGTCTTTCTCCATATCTTTCTCTCTCTTTCGCTCTCACTTCTCTCTCTCTCTCTCTCTCTCTCTCTCTCTCTCTCTCTTTCTCTCTCTTCTCTCTCTCTATCCCTTCCCCTTTTCTCTTTCAGTTATAGTCTCAAGCTTCCTGACTGCTGGCAGAGGATCACACTAAAGTGTCAATGGCTACGGCCATCCGACCTGTACGCTCACTGCCAAGAAAGAAGGCAATGGCAAAGTACCTAATTCAAAATGCCAAAATAAACTGAGATTCTCTACATCACACAGCTTCAGATTAAAGAAGCAAATGGGTGCTCCGTTAAAGCAGCCTCATCCGGTATAAGGGTCTATGTATCAGGTGACTCAAGCCCTAGACATTCTAAAAGGTGCTTCATAGCAGAGTCTATTATTTACCTGAGTCAACAACAAACATGTTTTCATCCGCAAATGCTAAAACCTAATGCCAAGTTTTTATATATTTGCCGACAGGAAGTTTATAACAAGTGACCAATGAAATCACCCGACGACAGGCTGCTTTGGCAACGAGCGTAAACAGTCGGTCTCCAGACAGGTTTTACATTTTTTGTTGTAGCTCTAACTGTACACAGAAATCTGTAAGTAGATAATATGCTTGAAATCAACTTTTTATGAGTGGTCGATTATTTAAGTAATACATGTGATTTAAAATTAATGGTCCAAACATATCATACGACATCAAATATCGCGACAAAGGCTAAGTGGCTCTCCCCAACTTCTTGTGTCACCTTGTTAGTATATAGTATAAATTATTTATACAAATGTATAAATAATTAATACTGTAAAGTGAAAAACCATTTTCCGTATTGGATATAATATCAGGCTACACCTTTATTTTATAGACCAAATGGCACTTGGTGGGTGATGTGGTCAGCATTACGCCGACCGCCTTTACTTTCTAAGACTGTACCTGGTACTGGTACCCGCTGAAGGCTGGGTCGACCTGGAAGCAAAGGTCATTTTAAAAAAAAAAATCGGGACCTGAACACACGACTTTCTGATCCGCAGGCAAGCATATAGCTGCTAGACCGCAAAGCTATATTTGTGTAAAAATGCTTATAATATTATTATGTAAGTTCGCCAAACACTGTACTATGTTGAGCACTGGAACTGTTACTGGTGATATCATAGCCTACAGAGAATATCAATATTGAATACTAAAATGAAATTTTTATCATGTTATTATTATATTATTAGCAATTATAAAAACTGATTTAGAACATCTTTCTAGGTCCTATAAATATTTTATTATATTTACAATCACTACCTAATGCATAACAATTATAACTTTTTGCTCTTTGATTCCTAATGAACATAAGATGTATCATTGTATTTTACCTAATGAATATCACAGACATTCAATCATGAGTCTTATATTTTTGTTTGTATTACAGAAAATTTGTTGTGGGGTATAATCAGATAGTTAGATAACGATGTAATTCAGCAAATTCTATTGCACTGAAAAACATTATGAGGCCACAGGTTGTTGATCTGTGGCCCAACAACAAAACATTATGAGGCCACAGGTTGTTGATCTGTGGCCCAACAACAAAACATAATGAGATCACAGGTTGTTGATCTGTGGCCCAACAACAAAACATTATGAGATCACAGGTTGTTGATCTGTGGCCTAACAACAAAACATTATGAGATCACAGGCTGTTGATCTGTGGCCCAACAACAAAACATTATGAGGCCACAGGTTGTTGATCTGTGGCCTAACAACAAAACATGAGATCACAGGTTGTTGATCTGTGGCCTAACAACAAAACATTATGAGATCACAGGTTGTTGATCTGTGGCCTAACAACAAAACATTATGAGATCACAGGTTGTTGATCTGTGGCCCAGCAACAAAACAAATTTATCTCTAGATCTGTGGCCAGAGTTTCCCCAGTGGGCTAGCCAGTTATCTGCTGCTCATTCGTGAGTGCAGTCAGTGATCTGATAGTTGGAAACACTCAGAAGGCATTAGCACTTTTACCCAAGAATACATATTTTTAACAATCCATAGAAGAAGAGAACAGCAGGAATTTTCTGGCTAATCTGAAGAGGTTATAATTACAGTCACTAAAGTCATATTTAACACCCCCACAATTGTTGATTCTGAGATAGCTGAGTACATTCTGAAACTTCACTGTAATAACTCCGGCAACAAATTATTAAGAAAAGACATAAAACAGAACAAAAAGTATATTCGCAAGCTTCACACTATAACAAACACAAACAAAACGTGAGCGCTGTGGCTATGGAGCCTTCATCAGCACATACAAATAAAACAATACCACACAAATACACAAAATCACTTAAAGTCAAAGGTTACTCAGCTTTAAAGTTATCATTAGGGCACTTATAATTGCCACACAAAAAATTACAATGTGTATCCTGTTATTCTGGCAGGTAAGGATAATTAAGCGTAAAAACACCTTTAGGCATCACCCCGAATAACAGATGATAACCTGTTGATTGAATACCTGAAAAATATTGCCTGCTTTGTTCTTGTCATTGACAAAAACCACATGAAATGCAACAGAAAACGATCATACCAGACAATGACCTTAACCCCATCCAATTGCAGGTAGTCCATGTTATCATATCTAGTCTTTCTAAACACTACACAATCACAAAGTACCAGAATCTTCAGTACTGCACAATTTGAGGTTTTTGAGGGAGTTATTACGCATGTCAAAATAATTACTTTGATTTCTGAGGTCAGAATGAAAGGGGTTAACGTTGGTTATTCTCTTAACCACCTTCTATCTTCTTCTCTTAACGTCCTCTTTTACTTTGGGTGTCGAGGGAAATATAAGGTCTTGCTTCGTGCTTTTCTGGTTGCTTCGACCATAGACACATCCTGGTGCTGTAGAGTTTCTCTGATGTTATCCTTCCATATGGTTCTTGGTCTACCTCTTGCTCTGCATTCCTCTTCTCTTTTGGTATATGCCTTGAATGGTATAGCATCAGAAGGCATTCTCTCCAAGTGGGCAAACCATCTTCTATACAAAGACAAAAAGTTAAAAATCTATTTCATCTACTTCATATCACACACAATCCTTGCTCTGATCAGGCACACAGATTGACTGACATGGTTAATAATTGCCTGTTTATTTCTTGTCAAAGACAGCAGCCATGGCAAGACTAATCAGGGCACCAACTCGCTTTACTCATGAGGACTGGACCCGCTCCAATCTCCAGAAATATGCCAGTGCTGATGTGGAAAGACAGCAGGCGGAGCGTTTGATTGCCGAGTCCAACCGGCTGAAAGAAGAGACTGCCAGACGTACTGAAAGAACACAGGCTGATGTTAGCAAGAAGTTAGGTATTGAAACCTTGATGTATTGTTGGCTATAAACGCTCTGTGGTTATTCTTTTTTTCTATATTCTTCTATCAATGAGAACGTATCAGACTTAGTTATTTTCTTCTTCTCACTTTCTTTCCTCACTGGAAAGATTCTCAAACCTTAAATCTCCCCCATGTGATGATGTTGTTCATCACACAGGGCTCACAGTCTGCTTTTATCCATTCCACTTTATCCTGGGCAATCCTTGCGAGATCATGGATGAAATTCAGGCCAGCACCTTTGACCTCTCTCATTAACGCTGCTTTTAGGGTTTTTCATTGACATCCTCCTTCCATTTGTTTCCCATCTCAGTGCCTGTTTGGTCATTCTCTGCTCACTTCTTCTCAGGATATGCCATCTTCTTTGTCTTACCACAACCCACTTTAGACAGCAAGCTGTCTCAGCTGTTGCTGTCTCATGAGGCTCCCTGCAGTTCTTTCTTGCACTGTTCAGCTGTATCTATCATTCTCTTCTACTAGTGTTTTCCTCAAACTTCTCGCTCTGGAATCCTGGGAGAAAAAGGGTGGGGGGGGGGGGGGGGGTGTTTGGAAACCAGCTGATAAATTCTGCAGTTTATTAGTAATTGTTTTAGTCATTCTTAACCCTTTTTTCACATGAATGCTAAAATATAAAAAAAATATACACCTTAAATATATAAAGATATAACAATTTAAAAAAAAAAAAAAAAAAAAAAAAATGAAACTCGAAGGAATGCCTGGAAAAAAAATTCTTGAAGCACACAACCATATTTCACGGGTTATTAAGAAATATTTTAAACAATTTACTCACTGAGGGGGTTGGTGATATTTTAAAGCAACAGATTCTAATCCCAGCGTGGTGACTATAGATTTGAGTTGTTATGTTATTTTGTAGTTTGCCTTCACCAATTGTAAACTCTAGTGGAAAATCCTCATTGTCATCCAGGACTTCAGTTGTGAGTCCACATTCACTTTACAAATCATGCATATTTGTGTGCAGGCTGCTGGTTTCTTGCACCCTTAGGCAGATGTCCTCTCTACACTGACCAGGAACTGTTTCTAGAATGACTGTGGACATGTGTAGATATGTCTTGACCAATGTGAGCCCTTGTTCTTATGTACCACCATGTGTGATTCAGCAACTATGTATCCCTGTGCTGTCTAATGTCTAGTTGAGTTGATTTGTTTCAAGAAGTGACACCACAGCATTCTGGGTATTAAGCCAGATCCCCACGTCTAATGTCTAGTTGATTTGATTTGATTCAAGAAGCAATATCACAGCCCTCTGGGTATTTGGTCACACCCCGTTCGTCATTCCTCATGGCATTACTCTTACTAGACTGTGATGATCCATTTGCTCCTCCGAATTGTACACTTGCTCTCATAAGGCCATAACCATGTCTGCCTTATCATACATCAGTATTCCACTGTTGCACAGAGCCAGCCAATCTGTTCACTTGTTTGATTTCCCCAGCACACCAGCATACCCCAGATAAAATGTCTAATGTGTCTTATTTTATCTCTTCACTTCCTCTACTTCTATGCGTGCCAGTCAGTATCTGCTTATGTATTTCTCATACAACTTTCTTACAGAGCAACGCTTGAATGATATCCGGTACTGGAAGAAGGAGCTTGATGACAAACTCGATGGGCTGGTCAAGGAAACTGACAATCTAGATACATTCAAACATCGAGTGGAGAAAGCTTTACAAGCCACAGAGGAGCCCTTGCACATTGCCAGGATGTGTTTGGCCAACAGGTTGGTTTCATATCTGCTTTTGACATGTTTCTCTTTCTCTCCTTTCCTACCTTCACCTTCTAATGAAAGCGTCTCTCACACTCAGACCAAACACTTTCTTCTTCTGCTTATAATCCCCCAATGGAGCATAAGGACTCTACCAACTTACAGCAAGTTGTTCTATCCCTTGCTTTTGCATGCAGCTCACCCTTTGTTCTCCCCAACTTTTTTTTTTCACCTCTGACTTTTGTAATTCCCATGTTTTTTTTTCCCCAAACAGTCTTTCAACAACTTGGGAGCTGCCATGGTCTATCAGCTAGATGCTCGGCTGCTGATCAGAAGGTCGTGGTTTCAGTTCCTGACGAGGGCCGTATTTATTTTCAAAAATGACCTTGGCTCCCAGGTCGACCCAGCCTTGAATGGGTACCAGGTACAGTCCTGGAAAGTAAAGGCAGCCGTTGTGGTGCTGACCATATCACCCATCAAGTGCCGTTTGGTTTATAAAATATATGTCTAGCCCTATGTAGCCAAAACACCTGACAGGTAGGGAAAAGGGTCCTTTACTTACTTTACTTTTCAGCAACTCTTCGAAGTAATTTGTTATATCACACAGCTTTATGCAGATGTCTGAGGTCAACAGTGAAAGTTCAGGAGCGCAGCAATGAAAAAGAAATCAGATTGTCAGAAAACAAGCAAGATGCCAATGAGATTGTCACTGGTGCTATGTAGTTTGTGCTTTATGTGACACTTTTGCATAAAAATAGGCACATATTCTAAGGCAACGTTGTGTCACTATTTCAAAGCACTTGGTGAAGAACTGCTGGCCTACACCTTCATGCAGATTTCTGAGGTCAATAGTCAAAAGTTGGCCTACCAATGAAAACCTGTGCTGGGAACGCGGCAACGAAAAAAAGGATCATCGGAAAACAAAACCAAGATGCTATTGTGATCGTTGCTGGTACTATGTAGTTCGTGCTTAGTGCAACATTCTTATATAAAAACATGTGCATATTCGAATGCAGCATTGTTTCAAAATTTGACGAAAATCAGTGAAGAACTTTCGGAGATTAGCTTTCACTAACAAATGAACATTTACATTTTTATTTATGTAGATATTTCTTCAGATGTGTTAGAATGGTATCTTCAAAGTATTCATTAATCATATTTCATCATAGGCTAAGTGGTAAAAATAATAAGTGTCATCAAGATATTAATCATTCATATTGCATCAGATATAGCAAAAGTAAAAGTAAAGATCCCTTTTCACGCCTTTAAGCGCATCGGGCATATGGGAAAAGCACCCATATTTTTACAGACCAATCGGCACTCGGTGGGTAATGTGGTCAGCATTACGCCGGCCGGCATCAGATATGGTATATGAATAATACTCATCATTTGTGTTTCAGGGAGAAACGGGTAGGCATAGACCTGGTCCATGATGATGTCCAGAAGGAGCTTCTGAAGGAGGTGCAGACCACTGAGGGAGTTCAGACTCTGCTGAGGAGGACTTTGGAGCATGCAACAGAGCAGCTGAGGTAAGAGTGAGCAAAAACTACTTACTTAATTGATCCTCTTTTATCTTGGAGTGTAGTTTACCAGAGAGATTGCCAGACTTCTCTGTCAACAGTTGTCTTCTTCTTCTTCTTCACGTTTACCGGCTGTAAACTCTGGTGGAAAGTTCTGGTTGTTCATCCACTTCTGGACTCTAGACCTGTTCTAGAAACTGAGTGTTGTGTGCACATCTGTTTCACAGGTCTGACTTATTTGCAAGCAGACTGGATTGTTGGTTTCTTGACTCACAGGCAGATGCACTTCGACTTCAAAGGAAGCTCCCAATTAGTTGACTTCTATGACATGCTTGTTGGGCAGGCAGAGGATCTATTTTTGTTTTTCCCTATAATGGGGCTCCAGAACCCACACAAGAAGAGAAGCGTCTTGCTTTTGACTTTGCTCCATTTCAATCCTCTGTCAGTCAAGAACTGTTGGATGTTGTCTTCCCAGCAAACCCTAGGTTGTCCTGGACGTCTGGTTCCCTGAGAAAAGAAAAACAGAACACTTAAAACTAACAGGGGAAACATGATCAGCCTAGGTGTGTCCATGCTGTGCTGAATCATGACTTGTTACATCCTAATATGCTTCTTTATGGATGTAAAGTTTTAGTACCATCATGTATAGATGGTTGGTGCATTTAGCTTGCAGAGGGACAGAGAGCTCTACAGCACAATTCATGTGGAGTTCGTTGGTCTGGAAAAAAGTTCCTACACAACATAACTCTGAAAACCTTTTCCAGGTCTTATGTGGGTTCACGTGATCAACATGGAATGACATTAGCCATTGCTACCTATCAAGCAAAAGATCCTAAACTGTTCCTCCCCATGATGCTTTATGGCAGAAGAGGAAATTTGTAATGATGATGATGGTTTAACTATAAACCGTGCTGCATTTATAGCATTTGCTTAACTAGACACAGTGCTACATTTCAGTATCTTGTTAAACTATAACCACTTTACTTTACTTACTACTGTGTTTAGAGTACTAGTTAATTTATCCTAATAATGCTCTCTTACTGTTCCCTGGCAGGAAAAACCGTAAGGCTAAGTACCATATGGAGAAAGATATCAAGGATAAATTTGGAGCACAGAACATTGATGAGTATTGTGAGAACCTCCGTAACAACTCTCAGCTTATCCACTTCAACGATAATGTTGCCACGATTGACCCTCAGTAAGTGCTGGAGGTTTTGATGTGAGAATTTGCTTTCTTTATATTGTTTGACAGGAAACATGGCTGCCTTGGTATATTTTCATTCATAGCTGCAGTTATAAGATATTTACTGATCATAGCATTTATAGCACTTTCACACCCCCCACTGCTTGTACAACATTTTTTTTTAAATGCCTACTTCATTTACAGCATGTTTTTACTGCCCACCTCCTTTATAGCATTTTTACTGCTCACTTTATTTATAGCATTTTTATGGCCCACTTCATTTATATAATTTTTTTTTAACTCCCCACTTCATTTATAACATTTTCTACTGTCCACTTCATTTATAGCATTTTCTTACTGCCCACTTCATTTAAAGCATTTTCTACTGCCTACTTCATTTATAGCATTTTCTACTGCCCACTTCATTTATAGCATTTTCTTACTGCCCACTTCATTTATAACATTTTTACTGCTCACTTTATTTATAGCATTTTTATGGCCCACTTTATTTATATAAATTTTTTACTGCTCACTTCATTTATAGCATTTTCTACTGCCTACTTCATTTATAGCATTTTCTTACTGCCCACTTAATTTATAGCATTTTCTACTGCCCACTTTATTTTTAGCATTTTCTACTGCCCACTTCATTTATAGCATTTTTACTGCTCACTTCATTTATAGCATTTTCTACTGCCCACTTCATTTATATAATTTGTTTAACTCCCCACTTCATTTATAGCATTTTCTACTGCCCACTTCATTTATAGCATTTTCTACTGCCCACTTCATTTATAGCATTTTCTACTGCCCACTTCATTTATAGCATTTTCTACTGCCCACTTCATTTATAGCATTTTCTTACTGCCCACTTCGTTTTTAGCATTTTTACTGCCCACTTCATTTATATAATTTTTTTTTAAACTGCTCACTTCATTTATAGCATTTTTTAACTGTCTATTTCATTTATATAACTTTTTACTTACTACTTAATTTTTACTCCAATGTCAATAGCATTTTTTTTTACTGCACATTTTATTTACATTACTTTTTCCTACCAACTTCATTTATAGTAATTTTTTACTATTAACTTCAATTATAGCATTTTTCTTTACTACCAACTTTATTAAAAACGTTTTTCACTACCAACTTCATTTACAGAAATTGTATAATGCCAACTGCATTATAGCATTTTCATACTCGCCACTGCATGTATAGTGTGTGTATATATATATATATATATACATTTATAGTACATGTTGACTTGTAGCTGCATTAATAACAGATTCACTCTCCCATGCATTAATAGTACTAATTTACTTCCCACTGCCTTTAAGAGCAGTTTAACCCCCCACCTCCCCCACCCCTCCATTGCATTTATAGTATATTTCCTGTGACTTCCCTCTGCATTTAAAGTATATTTCCTGCGACTTCCCTCTGCATTTATAGTATATTTCTTGCAACTTGTGCATGTTTGTGACTTGCAGACTTTTTCTTCTGCCAGCTCTCACAAAGTGCTGTGTAAATGTGTCCATCATGGGTTGCATTTTTCAACTATGTTTTCTATAGTAAGGAGAAGACAAAGAAGTACTCTGTAGGGTACTGGAAGATGAGACCAATCTGTATATCAGAGCTGGCATTTGCAGATGATGTGGCCCTGATTGCTAAATCAGAGGCACACCTTCAGTTCAACTTACTTGTCTGGAAGGAAGAGCTTGAAAAGAGAGGGATGACCATCAGTATCTCCAAAACTAAAACCATGGTGATCTCAAGAGAGAAGAAGAAATACCAAATCATGATGGGACAGTATGCACTGGAGCAGGTTAACCAGTTGTCAAGATCTTGATACCCAGTCCTTACAAACCCGAGTGGATCAGTCACAGTTACGATGGTTTGGACATGTATGCAGAATGGGGGAAAATCAGCCACCATGACAAGCATGGGAGGCTAAGAACCAGGGAACCAGACCTCCAGGGTGCGCTGGGAAGACAACATCCGACAGTCCCTAACTGACAGAGGACTGGAATGGAACAAAGCCAGAAAGAAAACTGCTGATAGAGACGTCTGGCGATCTCTCTGGCAAACCTCTACACCCCAAGGTAGAAGATTAGCGACTAAGTAAGTAAGTAAGTTTTCTATAGTATTAGGGAGCACATCCCCACACGAGCCTTCGTTGGCAGCCTCATGTGACATGCATATTAGGATACAGTCAGAACTATTAACTACTTTAAATACTTCATTTTGCTAACTCAGGTTTAAAAAAAAAAAATAAAGATTAGTGAAATATTTGTTTTTGATTTCTTGTGAAATGTCCTGAGGTTTAGCTTAGTTAATAATTACCACAACAGCACTAGGGACATTCCCATAAGTGCTCCATCCCCATCTTTAGCAGGGAGTTCTAGTGCTGACTGTACCAGTAGCAGTTTGATTTTATGTCAGTCTTGTCTTTTTTTGTGTGAATGTAGAGTGTCAACCTAATCCCCTAGCCTCTTCCCACTGAACCATTCTCTTCATAATATAATGACCTGTTTGTGCTTCAGCATTGATTACTTGCTCCAAAAGGGACTTTAACACATCTAGCCTGCTGTACAACATTTCACAGTGCAGAAACAGCCAATCAGTCTATCTGGTTGTTTTTCTAACACACTGGCATTCACTGCAGACCTCTGAAGCAAAGTATGTCACTCTTCATAGAGCATGCCTTACTCAATCTTTTTTTGATGAGCTTTGTGAGTCTATTACAATCACAGTATATGTGTGCAGTTAGTTCTCAAGCCAGCTGAAAGCTGCTGTGACTGCCTCCACCTCCATTCTCAAACTAGATATTGTGGGATCGTATCCTATGTTTTGTTGCACTAAGCAATACACATTCACTTTTGCAATGAACTTCCCTGGGTTTTTCCTGCCTCTCAGTAAAGAGCCGTCTGTATAGATGGGCAGTGATTGTCCTAAAGTTTCTTATGAGTTATGCATTTGTGTTACTGCTCATTCTTTTCTCCCAAACATACCTTTTCATTCCATTAAAGCTTTCCACTGACTACTTTTATAAAGACTAACAATTCTGTTTTCCAGCTCTGTGACCCTGGAGCAGTGGCAGGACTTCTCCAATGACAACATCAACTATGGAGAGAGGGAGCGGGTGAACTCTGTGGCTCTGAGGTCAAGCATCGATGGTCTCCTCCAACAGACAGGAAATGACATGCGCAAGCAGGTGGACGACACTAATGTGGCCTTGGCTCATCGGATCTGGGAGTGTAAGGATGCCAAGGGAAAACTGGAGGACAATCTCAACAGGGTAATCATTGTGTTCATCCATAGCTTCTCCTTTTTTTTCCCCCAGTAGTTTTCCTTCTATAAAAAAAAAGCAAAGTAAAGGACCCTTTTCCATGCCCTCAAGCGTATTAGGTATATGCTAGATCTATCTTTTATAGACCGAACGGCACTTGGTGAGTTATGTGGTCAGTATCACGCTGGTTGCCCAGGACTGTACCTGGTACCCACTCAAATCTAGGTCAAGATGGGAGCCAAGGTCATTTTTAAAAAGACCACCTTTACTTCTCACCTGGTGCCCACTCAAGGTTGGGTCGACCTGGGAGCTAAGGTCATTTTTTAAAAAAAAGTCCGGCCCCTGTCAGAAACCAAACCCATGACCTTCAGGTGAGTGTCTAGCCAATAGACCACAGTGGCTGCCAGTTTTCCTCCTATAGTTATAATCTATACCATCACTCAGTATGAAGCCAGTCACACCATGACTCTGCTGGATTCTTCTTGAAACATAGTTTTCTCAACTCCTTTCGCCACATTGATTCTTCTTCTTCTTCGGCATTCCGATCTCTTGAGGTTCATTGTAGCAGATATCACCTGCCTCCATTTATCTCTCTGGTTGGCCTCATTCCAGTTGGTGACACCAAGTGTTTACATGTCTGGACATTATCTCTCCATATTCTTCTTGGTCTGCCTCATGGTCTACGACCATTGCCATATTCAATTACACTGAATCACTCTCTCCATTTGTTATTTCAACTCCTCCTTTCTCCCAGTATTATTATTTTTTTAACTCAAAATGACCCAAGTATTTACAGTAAATATGTTATGGGAGACAGTTAAATAATATCTTCTGCTGCTGAAAAAGTTAAAGACTGTGTATCTTATATTAACAATTCCAAAGAGTTAACCATTTCATCCCAAAAAGGTGAAGAAAAAAAAAACACTTCTGGCTGAGTCAAAATCCCCCCAAAAGTCACTTTTCTGACTCTATATAGTTAACAAATACTTTATAATAATAATAATAATAGTTTATAAAGTCAGAGTTGGTTTATTATGGGTTAATGCAACAGAAGAGTTAGAAGTGGAACAAAATGACATGTGTGTAGCAGTCATCACAGGCTGTAAACTCTGGCGGAAAGTTCTGGTTGTTCGACCACTTTTGGACTGCAGTCCTCTTCCAGAACCTGAGTGTTGTGTGTGCATATGTTTGACAGATCTGACTAATTTGTATGCAGACTGTTGGTTCCTGCCTCTCAGGCAGATGCACTCCGACTCCGAAGGAAGCTCCCAATTAGTCGACTCTCACAACATGCTTTTTCGTAGGCAGTGGGTCTATTCTTGTTTTTCCTATAATAGATCCTCGGAACCCACATGGGGGGAAAAACATGCTAGTGACTGTATTCTATTGCTTCTCCTCCCTCTCCACCATGTACATAGAAGTAATTTCTCCGAACTGTCTGCTCCACAGGTCATCGCTCAGATCAAAGAACAAGAAGAAAACATTGCCACTCTGGAGATGTCCATCCAGGCTAAAGAGGCTGCAATGAAGGTGGCCCAGACTCGACTTGAGGTGCGGCAACACAGGCCAAACTTGGAGCTGTGCAGGGACCCTGTGCAGTACAAACTCATCGAGGAAGTCCAAGAAATAGCCAACTCGGTTGCTCAGCTACAAGCCCGCCTGCGGGATGCCAACAGCTCTCTGAAGGGCCTGGTTCGCAACCAGCTGGAGCTGGAGGAAGAAATAGCCATCAAAGCCAACACCTTGTTCATTGATGAGGTGGAGTGCATGGGCATGAGAAAGAGTATTCATATTCAAAAGTTTTAACAATCTGGCAACTAGAAATGAAATGTTGACAATAGTTACCGTATGCTAAAACTGTGAATACTAGAGATGCAGTCATTGTTTTAATTCTGTACAATTATTAAACATTATTAGTTAGGGTAATGTCTGACTTTCCTCCTCCTCTTGAATGCTGCCTGAAGTGTTAAACACCACAGTGACACAAAAAGCCACATTTCAGATACTAATGAAACAAAACCCAGATACCCTGTTTAGTCTCATGAAGTGATTATATGACTCACCTAGTACAACTCTGGTGTTCCCTGTTGGCTTGGGTGGGCAAGAATTGGTTGTAATAATATAAGAGATTGGTAAATCTATTATAAAGAATCATCATCATCACCCCGTAGCACTGCTCGTCATTGGGTCACCAGTTTCTGTTGACTGTCTCATCAGCTCTCTCCACCTTTGGCAGTCAGTTGCGATGGACTTCATGGTTGCATGCCTGAGGCCTGTCCAGTCAGTCAGGTTCTGTAACGAGGTCTTTCTTGGTCTGCCTCTTCTCCTCTTTCCCATTACTGAGCCCTGCAGTATTGTTCTTGAGAGTTTGTTAGATCTTATTACATGTCCATACCATTGCATTTGTTCGCCTTTTCACTGTAGTTAAAAGAGGTTCATAGTTGCCAAAGTGCTGTATAATTATATGGCAAACCTCTTTGTTTGTAATGTGGTCTCTGTATAATATGCCAAGAATTTTTCTGAAACATTGCATTTCTGATGCTTGCATCTTCCTTTCAAGTTCAGCTGTTAAAGTTTGCGTTTCACAGCCATATGTAAATTTACAAATAGCTAGTGCTCTGAGAAATCGAATCTTAGTTTTGCATGAAATGTTTTTGGATCTCCATAATGTTTGCTGCTTGGCAAGGACTGATGTTGTCTGGGCAATCCTAGACATTGATTTCTGGTCTTGACCGCAGGTCACCTAAAATTGATACTAAATATTTTAAATGAGTCACTTGTTCTAATTTGTGGCCTTTAACGTAGATTGGTAAAATTCTGCCAGCTGGATTATTAGTCATTACTCTGAAGAATTATATTATTATATAATTATACAGAATACATATGAAATTTTTGATTTGTTACCAATAAAAATAGTTCATAGGGTATAATTACGAGGCATTTAAATGTATAAGGAATGATTAATAAAACAGCACACTTATGACGTTTGGAAGTCAGTTTAAAAAAAATGTGGAGAGATTTAAAACAAACTGATCTGATCTGCCAGGCCGACCTGGCCTAACTGGCCTACAGGAGGTATTATGGGAAATATGGATGATTGTTTTGATGCTGACCAAATTATTCATTCAATGCTGATTGGCCAATAAAATTATCAGGCTATCATTATATACCCTGGTTGAAGAAAGCAAAAAGTTTGTCTTTTTAAAAAAAACTTCTGTATATAATTTGGCGTCATGAAGGTTAACTTGCTAGCATGTTTGTCTATCAGCTGAGTAGTCAGTGGTTTTAATTCTATTTGAGGCAGGAAAGTTTTTTTTAAAACCTGGGCTTTAAGGTTGACTAAGCCTAAAATTGGTAGCAGGAAAGTTCCTGGGGAAATAAAGGTGGCCAACATGATTTTAGACATCCTGAAAGCTACATGAGTGTTTAAAAACCACAGTGACCCATTGAGCCACATTTCATTTACTAATCTAAAACCCAGATACCCTGAAATGATTCTATGGCTCACCTAGTACAACTTTGGTGTTCCCTGTTGTCCTGGGTGGCCAAAGGTTGGTTATAATTATATAAGAGATCTGTACATCTGTTATAAATAATACATATGACATTATTGATTTGTAACTTATATAAATAATTCATAGGGTTGAATATTGATTGTTGAATTAAGAATCGACATCATAGCACTCGGGACACTCCCATAAGCCCTCCGTCCCCATCTTCAACAGCAAATGAAGAGTTCCAATTCTGGTGGCACCAGTAACTGTCTGATTGTATATCCGTATCACCTTTCCTTTGAGTGTTTTGCATCAGCCAGATCCCCTGGCAACTCCTCACAGCGCCATTCTCTTCCGACTGCAATCATCCGTTTGCGCTTCCGCACTGTTCACTTGCTCCCAGAGGGCCCTCATAACACCCATCTAACATACTGATCTGATCTCCCAGGTCAACTGGGTACTAGGAGGTATTATGGGAAATATGGATGACTGTTTTGATGCTGACCAGATTATTCATTCAATGCTGAGTGGCCTATACAATTCTGAGGCTGTCATTATAGACCCAGTCTCAAGTCAGCGAAAAGTTTTTTTTTTTTAAACTTGTTTATATAATTTTGAGTCATAATTGTTTACTTGCTAGCATGTTTGTCTGCCAGCCTAGTAGTCATCATCATCATGTAGCAGGTCCTTTGCAGAACGTTGCTGTTGTCACGGTCTGCCTCAAAGAAACTCAGTCTCTAGCCAGCTCTCCCGCCTCAGGTACTTTCATACTCAAAGCGTCACTTAGATCCCATGCTATTCTGCTGCTGCCCCTCCCTCCTGGTACGATGACTATTGCTATTATTTTTTTTCCAATTCGCTGAGTAGTCAGTGCTTTTAATTCTATTTGAGGCAGGAAATTATTTATTTAAACATGGGCTCCCAGGTTGACTGAGCTTAAAATTGGTAGCAGGAAAATGCTTAAGGAAATAAAGGTGGCTGGCATGATTTTGGACATCCCTCACTGAAATATGAATCCCACATCATGTACCCAGTACACCTGGTGGTGTCACAACACCATGTACCCAGTACACCTGGTGGTGTCACGACACCATGTACCCAGTACACCTGGTGGTGTCACAACACCATGTACCCAGTACACCTGGTGGTGTCACAACACCATGTACCTAGTACACCTGGTGGTGTCACGACACCATGTACCCAGTACACATAGTGGTGTCACTACACCATGTACCCAGTACGCCTGGTGGTGTCACGACACCATGTACCCAGTACACCTGGTGGTGTCACAACACCATGTACCCAGTACACCTGTTGGTGTCTAAACACCATGTACCCAGTACACCTGGTGGTGTCACGACACCATGTATCTAGTACACCTGGTCGTGTCACTATACCATGTACCCAGTACACCTGGTGGTGTCACAACACAATGTACCCAGTACACCTGGTTGTGTCACAACATGTCTCTTTATTTTTTACCCTTTCTTTGTTTGTTACATTTGTCAACACAGGGATTTCCCAAACTAATGTACTGCCTATGTTTGTACTTTGTTGCATGAATTTATGTTGACATAAGCTTTTTACTGTCGCTAACACTTGTCTACTCTGTGTCTTGTTAATGTAGTTTCACAATCCCAACACACCAATATTCAAAGTTTGACAGCTTTATGTTGTTGTCAAAAACATTATGAGCATCATGCCAATTTTTAAAGTATTTTTAAGCAACGGCAAACTACTGAATCTAACATGGCTTAGACTTCTTCTTTTGCATCGTCCTTACAAAAGGGCAACTAGCAAATGGTTTACAACTAGACTGTGATATCTGCATCTTTCAGCCCGACACGTCTGCTTTCAGAGAACCAATAATTAGTTGCCTTTTAGGACATGTATGTCAGGGGTCAGTGGGTCTGTTCTTCTTGATCTCCACAATGGGGTCCTAGAATCCACACCAGAAACATTGCCCAATAACGCTACATAATCAACCAATCAATGCTGGGACCTATTGATTTTAAGCTAACACTTAATGAAATTACATTAACGCAGGGAAATCTCGGTTTAAGGCCTCGTATTGTTATTGTTTTTGTTTCTGTCAGAGGCAAAAACAAAACCCTAACCTGCATCATTTGTAGCAACTGCACTAGCCATGTGGCCCCAAATCCTCCCCCCCCCCCCCCCTGCGCCTACCTTGCAAAAGTGATAAATACAGGCAGAAGTGCCAATGCTGACAGCAGCACCTGGGAAATGCATCAGCTTCAGTACTTTGCCAGATCGTTAATTGCCAACACAATTTTTAAAAAAATAGTTTTATAACATTTGCTATCAAGTACTTGAGTAAAACCATATCTAAGCTAAGATATTACAGTCTTCACTTGCTTTCTTTTGTTTGTGTGGCATTGTTGTGGATGTTATTCTTCTTCTTCTTCACATTCACCAGTTGTAAACTCTGGCGGACAGTTCTGGTTGTTCACTTTTGGACTGCAGCCCTGTTCCAGAACCTGAGTGTTGCATGTGCATCCGTTTTACAGATCTGACTCATTTGTATGCAGACTGCTGGTTCCTTGCCTCTCAGGCAGATGCACTCCGACTTCGAAGGAAGCTTCCAATTAGTCGCTTTTTACGATATGCTTTTGGGTAGTCAGTGGGTCTATTCTTGTCTCTATAATTTGGCCCCGGAATCCACACAGGGAGTGGATGTTACTGAAATTTATGATGTTTGGGTGGATATCTACCAACATCACTGTCCAGACATCCATTTTGTAAACCCCAAAATCGAACGGGGAAAAAAAGCGTAGATATTGCAACCTAGCTATAAACCACAACAAAGCAGCCACCCAGTTAGGGGGCCCAAAAAAAATTATATCACCCAGCGGGAAATCGAACCCCTATCACCCGAGTAAAAACTGAAATGCGTACAACTAACTACGCTACTAAATACTCTAGCATTTAGTAGAAATAAAAGTATATAATAAGAATTTGAAGTTCGGTGTTACACAGTCAAAAGTGGCCAATTGATTAAAAACAAATCCGGGCCGGCAAGGAAACAAATAATGATTCGACCGTTGCTGGAACAACGTCGTTCGTAGTTTGTGAGATTTTGTGACCCAAAACATCGGAAAATTAAATTTTTTTAAAATATAAATTCTTCTGTCTTCTGAACAAATACTCCCAAGCTATGTAAAGCCCTTCACCTGCTTTAACTTGTGTTTATGTCATTGCTTCTGTTTTGTCTACGTGATCTTCACATGATATGACCCTAAATATCTTTTTTTTTTTCCTTCTTCGCGTTCACTGATTGTAAACTCCAATGGA